TCACGGGCCCCAATCGATAGGCAAGTAGGGCATGTCACCTGGTGGCAGATTTTCTTACTAGAGTATAGAACATTTGGCGGTTAGGTGGCAGCACCTCCTGATCAATGGGCTGCTGAAACCACATTTACAAAAGTGGTGCGAGTATGGGTGATAACATGCATGAATAAGATTCTGTTAACAACGAGTACCAATAAACAATACTATTTGAGCTATGTAAGCAAATATTCCGTTATGCTAGACATGCGATCCGCTGACGTGCGCTCGATCGGGGACCAATTTGACACCCCAAATATTGTTGCATAATAATTTCCGAACGACGTTGCGTACCCGAACCAAAGTTTGCATAGCTGTAGGCAATTAAATAACGGATCTTGTGGTATAAAAAAATGAAATGCACCTGGTAAGGTAGCTGCTCGATGACAGATCATAGCTGACAGTAACGGCAATTTCTAGGAAATCGTCCAATCGGGTGCGACAACGGAGTTTTAGGCGAACCCGTGCATCTCTAGGATAGTTTCTTAGACAATGCCACAGTTCGGTTTGGACCTGCAACAAATGATATGAAGGTCGGAGCGTGGTCAAGACCAACCCGTTTTTTTACTCGATAGTTTGCTGTATACAACAGTTTCTAGCGCTCACTTTCGAATCTATTGGTAACAGTGACTGCAACAGAAATATCGCAAAGGCTTCTTAACAGCCAGTGTTGTCACTAACCTAAATTACCCATGTCAGTATTTTCTTAAAAACATACCGCCTAACGTAATCCTTGTTACATATTCAAATGCAAAAATCAAAACAATCTCGCAGTTTCTTGTGTCACGATAACCTTCTAAAGGCAAAGTCATTAACCTTATATGGTTATCTGTAGCCTTCTGCTGACGGCAAGTGTGTTGGTTCGTGGCGGTATGAACACCTGTAGCCTTCTGCTGACCATAAGTGTGTTGGTTCGTGGCGGTATGAACACCTGTAGCCTTCTGTTGACCGTAAGTGTGTTGGTTCGTGGCGGTCGCTCACATCTGGGGCCCTTTGACACAATGTAGAGTTGCGCCTTATTAAATCCTATTTGAACCGAAAATGAAGACCTAAGAACCTCAAATTTTGAGGGAAGTTAGTTCATGCACAATTCAATCTGCCCTGCGAATTTGGTGTCTCTAGCTTTTTATGTTTTAGATTCCAGCGGGGGGGGGGGGGGTGGGGCAGCTTGATTCCCTCCCAAGCGAGGAGTATTCAACAGGCCACCCGGGCGCGTGTTAAGGCAAGTCTTTGTGGTCATTTACCGCGTACGTTGTCAAAAATTTTCGATGACTAGAAATGCTTCCAGAGGGACGTTCATGGGGAGGAGCACCTCAGCACGTGCCATTCAACTTGCCAAGTTTTGGGATCCCTCAAAATGAATGGGCCTACTCCATATCCGCAACTAGCCAATCAAGACAGCCAGCTTAAAATAAACAGATTAAAAACATGGGATGCTTTCATGGCCATGCCAGAAGTTCTGCACACCTGCGACGCACTAAAACTTTTTTCATTGACAATTTCGAGTTGCATGCCCATTCAAGGTCACGCATAAGCCTGAGTGTTTTCTTCACATCAAGCCTCAAATTGCGCTGCTTAAGCAATTTATGCATGATCAAATAAGGTGCGGTACATTGAATAGACTAGCGTGCAATGGACGGAGATAAATACACCTAACGCATTCGTAGTGGTACACATAGAATTCCACCATGACCCGTCCCCGGCGTCTCGCAGAGGTTCAAATAAAATTATGACTGGACAGCGGGAGTACCACCCAAATAGCTATCACACCTCCATCGGGCAGAGATTGCCCGACCCGTAAGGAATGTGCCGCCTGAACTTTGTCACCAGTAAATAAGGGAAGCCATAATGCAGCCCGTTCGAGAATGTCTTCGCTGGGCATCGCCTGTAAAACCAGACCGCTGGCGGTCATCAACTAACTTTTGCGGAATGGCCGGGCGCGCCCTTTCTGATTATGGCGACAGAACGCGCGTGACGTTTCTCCAAAGTGCGTTGTGAAACAGTGTAGTTTTTTACGTAAAGAGCCAATCTTTACATCTAGATTGTGTTAGAATAGTATTTAGTTAGTGTGTGACTTGATAAGACGCATGCCATTCACATTTCACGCAACACATGACGACTTTTGTGTGTGTGTGTGTATGTGTTTTTCATACACACCAAAGGTTCTAAGCCTTCCTCCACTGCTCATTGGCAACGGTTCTAAGCTTTATAACTTGATTTATGCGACCACACTGAGTGCTAACTTCCACTAAAGATACATAAAAGAAGGGTGTATACAGTGTCTTCAGCTTTAGCTAGTGGAATGCTGCAGCTTGGTTCAGCAGCCCCATTCTCCTTGTTCAAAACAAACACCACGTCCATTCAACATCCTAACTCCCTCACGTGGTGAATCGAAGACAGCGGCGCAGGTAAAGGGGGGGGGGGCAGGGCACACGGGGCACGGGGCTCCTCTCCCCTGAACCCTCGCCCTGAAAGGTTGGGGAGGGGGTGGGGACATGCGACACCCTCGAAAAGTTTTTGAGGATGCCTCTGCAGAATGTTGTGCGATCGCGTTCAAATTTTCAGAACCATGTAGGGGATGCATTGCGCGTGTTTTGATACTAAAACATGCTTCCAGCTTTTCTGATTTTGGGGCAGCGGCGGTTTCTGATGACCACTACACGGCGCTCTTCGGCCGGCGCGGACGCTAGCGGCAAGCGACGATGTCGAGGGACGCGCGCGGCGGCCGACGATGTCGAGGGACGCGCACGGCGGCCGACGATGTCGAGGGACGCGCGCGGCGGCCGACGATGTCGAGGGACGCGCGCGGCGGCCGACGATGTCGAGGGACGGGCGCGGCGGCCGACGATGTCGAGGGACGCGCGCGGCGGCCGACGATGCGGAGGGACGCGCGCGGCGGCCGACGATGCGACATTAACGGAACCATACATCGTACATATGTGCTCAAAACACCTAAAATATGCATCACCGTACTCAAAATTAAACAAGGAGCACTTCAGCCGAGTTTTTTGCGGTCACAAGGTATGCCCTGGCATGCATGGTATAAAGCTGAAAAGAGTGATTTTACGGAAAATTTGATCTGTGACCTGGCATGTGTTCCGTTATTGACCTAACTGTATAACAACTGGTACCAATGACGACTGAGTATTAAGACCATCCAGCCGGTCTCCTCTGCCAAGCTTTGTCTTCATTAGTTTGGAATCGCCATGAGCTGTCGCATCGACCCCTTTATCAGTTCACATGAAAAACGGGTATCAGGGCGACGGTTAAGTCACGTGGGGCCCGAAGGGTCCCAAGGATCAATGAACACGGACCCAAACCGAGGACCCCATGGGCCCGAATTGCTAGGTGTAGGTCGTATTAAGAGGCCCCGGCTAACAGGGCCGTGACCTGAAATGCCTGTCAGAGGTCCCCTTGCACCACTGCATGGTAAGGGCATGCACCACCAGTACCGGACAATACAGGTGCTGACATTGCCGTCTCCCGTCACGTGCGCGAAGAGTAACTTGATTTATGAAACCACGCTGAGTGCTAACTAGTCTTGTGACATGGCAACGGTACGCTTGTAGCCATGTATCACAACCAACGTTCTCAGAGTTCTCTCGAAAGGCCTTGTCAGAGGCTCCTTCCTATCCAAGGTGTAGGAGTGATTGTGAGGTGTTGACATCGGTGTGAAACGGGTTTCTGTAGAGCATAAACTCTTCACACAGGGGCAATTACAGCTCGTGAGCTCTTGAACTACAAAAACACTATTTTTGTACCTCATATGCGCTTACAAAGATACCCTTCCTTATGGCTTTTTGTACTTGTGTTGGGAGGATCTGCGGTGACCCGAATGGATCTGCGATGGATCTTCCTCCGATGGATGGATCTGCGATGCGCAGATCCAGTTCAACATTGCGGGGACAGCTCAACATTTGAGGGGCCACGGCTCCCGTGCAGAGATGCGAAGTTCCCCTGTTCAAGAAACATGCCGACAAGCTTGGGAACGGCTTCGATCCAGCTCTGCGGTGAGCGTACGGCGAGCGCGTGCTCTAACATCCGGGATCCAGTTCTGTGGTGAGCGTGCGGCGAGCGAGTACTCTGACGTCCGGGATGGGAGCAGGTTTCTTTCGAGAGGAATATGCCCTTTTTGTCTTGGGATCGCTATTTTCACGACGTTGCAAGACTACACTGTTAGTTACTAGAATTATATTTACGTACGTTCAAGAGTTTGTGTGAGGTTTTGTACTTTTAATCGCTTCACCGAAACGCGTGTTCATACATTGTAACAGCTTTGGATCCTAGAAGTTGTGAAGGGCGATCCCAGGCAGTTCTGAAAGTTGTGAGGGTCACGTTCCCCACGTCCCCACGATGTCACCACCTCTGGCCGTTAGCATGTGAAAGGTCTGATAATTAAAACTGGACCAGCACGCACTCATTTTACTATTTTTTTCTGGTAGGCCTATTCGGATGGAATTAAATTTGGAAACATGGAGAGGGGAATTAAGTGGCCGATTATTGATAGAAAGCCCGAACATACTGTATGCCACGGCGCACAAAACTTACAGTAAACATTGTTGATCTCCTGACACTGCGCGCTCCACGCGTCGCCGCTTTGCCGTTGCGCACAGCAAAGAGACAAAAACGTGAGGAATTTGCAAGAATTTGAGATTGTGACCATCCAAGGTCAATTAGAACTTCCAGAGCCACGCCAGGAGTCGTCGTTTTTCATAACATAAATAGATGGGGGGGGGGGAGGGGGGCATCGGTGGAGCAAAATTTCTGACGGAGGCTTACCGTGACATGCGACGGGGAACGAGGTTATTTTTATTGCCAGGTCCCAGTCGTACTGACGGCGCCGATGCATTGCAAACAGACTAACAGATACTGGGAACGCTAATACAGCACAATTATACATACAGGAACTAGTGTATATCAGCGAGCTATCAAAGATGGCTTGCGCTCGTGCCTGAAACAGTTCTCTC